AGAAAACAGTAGTAAATAAAAAATGCACTTCTGTTAACCCTGATAAAGAATCCTTCTCCTAGAAAGGTTTGCAAGGGAAGCTGACAGACCACCTGCTTCGTATTTCCCCTGTCTGAATGATTGGTGATGCTGTTGAATAAATGGTAAAGCACAGAGCATTCACTTACACTGTGTACAGACACAGTTTGGCTGCTGTGGCAAAGAAAACTCCTGACTGATTTAGCATGCTGGCACAAAGTACTCATCTCTAAGGCAAAAGAGCCTTTGCAGGAAGGAGACACTGGCTGTGAAACCAGTCCCAGTTTGTCTGCCGCGCTAGCTGGCTGTTTTTCTTAGTCTGTTTTCATAGCCAGTGGGTAGGGATGTCACTTTCCCTGAGGCAGGGAGTTAATAAAGGAGATTCCCCGGGGTTCTGCTCCTTTCCACCGAGTTGGGAGGAGGACACAAAGCTGGGTGGTGCCCGTGTCCTGGAGAGGGAGAGACCTTTTCAGCTGAAGGTCAGAGATGCAGAGTGCTCGCAGCTGTCGTGGGCATCATTTGGAGCTGGAGGTGGTTCGGCTTTGAGGTGCTGAACTTTTATGTAGGACCCCCAGTGTGTTGTGCTTGAAGCAGTTGCATTTCCTTCTCAGATAGTTCTCACCCGACCTGATGCACGTACCCTAAATGTGCTGTCATTGGGGTCTTGTTGTTTTTTCACGAGACACAAAGTGCTAAAAGTATTCGGTAATTTGGGGTGCAGTGGCTTGGCAACCTGAGGTAGGCTGCCCTCCTTTCTTTGGTCTTATATTTAAATATATATAGTGCTCTTGAATGAGAGTTGGAATTTGCAGCAAGAGACTGAAAAAACCCGTAGCATCTTTCCTAGGTGCCTGAAGAAAAAGAGAGCTGTTTGAGAAATAGGTAATAATCAAAGCCTGTTGAGAGATGAAAGAGTTATTACTGCTTCTTAGTCTATGTCCAAGTCTTGGTATTTGGCTGTTTGGGCTGCAGGAAGCTGGTGTTGCCTGGTAAGAGAAGATGAGCTCAAACTGAGCCCTCACAGCAGGAGATTTTCTTGCCAGGCTTTGGGTCATCTCTGAGGTTTCTGCTCGCCTCCCAGCAAGGACTGCACAGAAGTCCTGTTACTCCGAGCTTTGCTGCAACCAGCTGAAAGCAGGTCCTGTAACTTTTTTTAAGTTATAATTATATTGTCGTGTGCTTATTGAAAGTATGCTAGGTTAGATTAAAATATGAGAGCTGCAAAACACCTTTGGGAACGTGCTAGGAACATGTTGCTATTTTGCTAGAAGCCCCCCGTCTCCTTGTTTTTTTGCTTAAATCCTAATTCTGTTTCCCTGAATAGTTTTTTGTTTTCAACAGATGTGTATGTTCAGTAAAGAATGGGGATTTTCTTGGGACTGTTTTTGTAATGCAGATGGACAGCAATGCTATGGCATGCAGAAATTGCACATTTTGCTTGAGTTGCTTTGTAGAATACACTATTTGATTTGAGAATTTTATTTTACACCAAAAAAGTGTAATAGGCCATTTTGCCACTGAGTAAGGTGTTTCAGCACAAGATAATGTCTTGAAGGGAAAAGGCAGACATTTGGTAGATTTAACGGAAAGATTTTTTTCACAATACTGGGCTGTCAGCATCCCTAAAACTGCATTACAAGAGATTATCTAAATTAATCATTTTAAGGAGGTATGGGGATCAAGGAAAATCTCAAGACTTACTCTCGCTGTCCCGTGTGGTCTTTTTTATTTAGTAATACGCTGCTACATATTTGGAGGTTCTAGTGTTTGTAGGTCACTGAACAGACATTGAAATCTGATTTATATTGTATACCTGTAACATAGAAAGAAAAAGTATTTATATATTTTCCGTAAGAATATTGCATTGAGCTGTGTATAATTTAAACAGAGGCTTGTCCCAAAATGGTATTGCCCACCTTGATTTTTTTTGTATTATTTTTTTTTTTTTGTATGGTGTGTACAGTTCATGTCAACGGGCATTAAAAGCCTCCTGAAGCATAATCTTATCAAAGGGATGCATTGTTAATAAAATGTACTATAAACTTCTTATAGTTGTTCTGGTCTCATATGTATCTCTTAGCACTCTTAGGGTTGGAATTTTATTTATATTTTTAAGTTACTGATTAACTAGAGCTTTCCAAATAAACATTTGTCAAAAATGCATTTTACATTACTTCTTTTTTAAGATGTCATATAAAAAAATAGAAGGGGGCTCTTTAATAGGTTGTATACTTTTTATTTTTTAAAAAAATAGCATACCGATAACTGAGAATAATCTTCTGTGGTTGTTTAAGTATTAGCATTTCAACAACAGCTGCAAAAGTTGAACTATAAACAAAGGAAAAAACACCAAAAAAAATTAAAAGTTTACAGTTTTGAAGACATTTGACAACTGATGTGAGACTGATGTCTTACATATAAAAAATACACACGCCTCTCCACCCATGCAAAAATACTTTTCTCATCTAGTGCCTGGGCTGCACCCTCTGCTGGGTGTGCAGGCGTTCTCCTCCCTGGGAACCCTGCACAGGTGTGCTTTTAGGCTTTTGATGAACCACCAGGGCCAGCAAGCGGAAAGGTTTGTAGGCAGAGAGGAATGAACTTCTTGCCTTGCCCAGCAGCTGGTACCTGGAGAAGTGTCTCCTTGTTTCCAGGTTATGACATTTTCATTGGTGCAGGATCTCCCCCAAGAGACCAGGGGGGCTGAGGTGGGGACTCCCAACAGGCACGGCTGTCACATCTCCCTGCCCTCGCACCCCTCCGCTCACTCCCCGGGATCAGTAGCTGCGGCTGGGCCCCAGGCACAGCGGAGTTCTCAAAGCAGATGTTACATCTGTGCCCTGGAGTGGTGAATTCCTGCCTGCTGAAAATTAAAAAGTTTGATGGGATAATCTGACTTTCTTGGCTGACTTCTATATCAGAATTACTCAGATGTGTAATTCCTGACTGAGGATACTTTTCAAACCTTCATAAATAAACAGGCCTTTTTTTGGTGTTGTTTTTTTTTATTTCTGAAATGCACAGCTAGGACGTTTTATTTTGGTATTGGCACAGCAGCTTCCTGCTGTTTATTGGCCTTTTTTCCAGCAGGAAAGCTTCTGAACTACACGAGTGCATGTGATGAAATGCTTTGCAGAAAGAAATGTTCTGCTGTGGCATGAAACTTTCAAAATCAGTAACTCCAAGAAGAGTATAACATAAAGGGAGGAAAAGTTTCTCTGGGATGTCCTCATCGAGCAGCATCAGCCTCTTCTCTTACTTCTGTATTCTCTGGCCAACTACAGCTGAGCTAAACCTGACCAGACAGGCTTCCTTACTCAGCTGTCTGAAGGCTGAAAGGAAGGACCCTACTGCATTTTTTATTATTTTCTTACTCAAGCAAATCTGTGTGTGACTGGCATGTGGGCACAGCCCAGGGTGTGTTGGCCGGATGCCTGTAACCACAGCCAGCATCTGTGTCCTTGTACCTTTATGCTTCACCTTTGCCTGCCCAAAGACTTTTCTCTCGTTTGGCCTCGGTGCTTGTCTCAGCCACAATCTATGTTAAGGTCTTGCTGCTTTTCCTGTTGCAACACACTTCATGGACATTACAACGATATCGATAAGCAACAGTATAAAACTTACATGTGGTTCACTACCAAAAACTCATTCCTGTCTGCAGCTTTCAGGACGTGCGATTAGCTAGTTAAGCATAGAGGACTTGGGTAACGGACATTGTAGTAACTAGCTGAAGATTAAATTGTAACATTGTTTTCCTCCTGGGAACTGCTTATTCTATGCTCTTGAGTAGAAATCTTTTATTTGTGAAAGATTCCAGACAGGATCGTAATTAGCCATAAACAAAGAGTTCCTTGTGCACTAAGGAGGTTAATCTGATGAGGCTTTCGGATGTAAGTCCAACTATTCTGCTTCATTAAAAATGCAGAGATTTTTAAAATTACAATGCTTAAAGTCAGAAGGGGGGACCAAATGTACTGCTAATTCCTGTCAGGATTCTGCGTGTTACAATAATTTAATACATTCAAAAGTAATGGAAGGCCTAGCTGATAGCCGCCTGAATATGAAGTTATTCCAACTAGGATTCATACACCTGGCTGGCTGGGGTTTGCTACCCCGGTGCAGGGGTTAATGCCAAGAGAAGTTGTAAGCGGAGAGACTGTGCCTGGTAACACCTCTACAAACTGCTGTCCTGCTGGGAAAACTGTTCCTTTCTACATAACACCCCCGAGTTCCTTTGTTCAGTTAAGAGGATTTCATTTAGGATTTTAAAGGGTCATTCTTCCAGGCAGAGAAGGCAGAAGTGGGAGGAGCTGCAGTTACCAGCAGTGGGAGTGGCAACCCACTAGCAGGGGCCTGGATTACAGAAAAAACAAGTCTGTTTTCTGTGCTCTTTCACCCGCTCCGTGTAGTTAGAGAACAAAAGCACGATGATCACTGGATTTTGGTGGACAGGGTAGGGCCCCTAAAGAAGTCAAAGTTCCTTCTAATTTTTCAGTAATGCACCACATTGAATGCAAGTGAGAGTCAAAAACACAACACCCACTCCCTGACAGCCTGTGCAACGCTACTGGGCTGAGGCAGACTCCAAACCTGGGCAGGGCTGCATACGCAGCTGCAGGACGCACACTGGCTGGGCTGAGGGCGAGAGCCTGAATAAATCTTTAATCTCTGCAGAATGTTTGTTGCATCCGGTTACAAGAAACTCCCGTGATCTAACCTTCTACATACTGCAGGCCAAAAGAACAGCCTGTAAATCTTATATAATGCCCGTAACTTATGATAAAATTTATGAATGCTATGTTCATCATTCCTGTGCACGAGTCAGTATTTTGAAACTAATCCTGAAGCAAGAGCTTTGCAGCAGTAACACAAGTAGGGCAGCTGTGCCTGTGAAAGCCTTCATCAAAAGAAGCTGTGGTTTTAGAAATTCTTATTTAAAGTGTGTAACCAAACACTGGATGGACTCAGCAGAGGCGAGTACATCAAAGCCTCCTCCCTAGGCAGTGCACATCTGTTTGTGAAATGTATCTCAGACTGGTCTTTCTGCCAGTTGTTTCTGTCAGCATTGAGGCAGCATCTTCATTAAAAATATCAAAGCAGTAGTGTGGCTGGTACAGCACTACCGACAGTTCTGGCGTGCTTGCCTCTAGTGTCTCCGGTAGTTGACAAGGATCACATTCAACTGTAAGATGAGAAGAATAAGAAAAATTTTCAAACCAAGTTTGAGTCTGAGGTATAGGTGTCAGTATAAATCCTCTCTCTTCTTTTTTATTAGGGTAAATCCAGGAAGAATTGTGACCATCAATCTTATTTTCTGTTGGCGTTGGAGACAACTGGCTCCATGGATGTAGTTTCTGAGCTTCAGCCTTGTTGTCCACTGCTAGCACATCAGGAATGCAGTCACTTATTTTCAGTACTTTCTCAGAACCAATCTACAAGAGATTCATGGAACAAAAAAATTAGTCAATGGAAGAAGCCCAGAGTAAAGGAAAGGGACTGATTACTTCAAGCACTTCTAATGGTGTCTTACAGGGTATTTTTAGTTTGGATTTGTCAAATAAATGAACAGAATTTGAAGGAATACGTAGGTACAGAATATTCAATGGAAGATGTTTTATGTGGAATTTATCAGAGTATTTATTTAAGAGATTTCTCTTTTAAGTAAGTTCAATATGACTACATCAGAAGAGGGAACCACGCCCCTATAGAGACTGCCAGGTTTCAGGTGAACCACCGCCAACAGGAAGGCAGCGCCGTGGCCTTCTCGATTGTACAGAGCCCTCCCTCTAGTGTTCACTGCGCAACAGCAGCAGCCAAACACGGCAGCAGCCGCACCATTGTCAGGCTGAAACGCTCCTCACTTTGAGACCCCCGTGCAGGCAGCGGCGTGGAAGCAGCAGCTCACAGTCCGAAGGGCCTGCAGAAGTTGGAGGCTTTTTGCCAGGGCTTTTCTCCCAGACAGACCCGTCAGTGCCTGGCAGAACCCCTCACACCCTACCCAGGGCCAGCAAGTGCATCATCATCACCCTGCTGTGCAGAGATGTGCTGGGGCAGGATGGGTGGGCGGACACAGTTCACAGGCTGCAGGAGACTAAGTGCAGTGTCACCGGGTCTGATGTGCTCAGACAGTGCTGGTTTTGAACAGTAAGGCCAGAAGAATGTTGTACAAAACGAGTTCATTCATTCTCCAGCGGCACCTTCACCTTTTGCAGTAGCAGACTGCAGAACAGAAACTGATCACTGCAGTCCAATGAATACCCAAAGGAGAATTTTCTACTAAATTATGATATTAAATTATGTTAATTTCTGTATAATGACTGTCAACCATTTTTAAATGTAGAATCATAGAATTGTCAGGGTTGAAAGGGACCTTGAAGATCATCTAGTTCCAAACTCCCCTGCCATGGGCAGGGACATCCCCCCACTAGATCATGTTGCCCAGAGCCCCATCCAGCCTGGCCTTAAAAACTTCCAGGGACGGGGCTTCCACCAACTCTCTGGGCAACCTGTGCCAGTGTCTCACCACCCTCATGGGGAAGAACTTCTTCCTAGTCAACACACACAAAAAAAAAATAAATTCTCAAACTTAACTAATCATAGAAAAACTAAAAATATTAGATTTTAAATAATTTTACCTTAAACTCTTTGAATGACAGCACTTTGCTCTTGTTAGGACTAGGTATTACAGGACAGCAACACTCCTTCACCCTGGAAATAAGAAAGCAAAACAAATCCCATTTTTGTTCTCTCATCACAGAATGGGCTACCAGCAGAAGCCACGAGTAAATGTGCGCAGGAACAGTAGCAGCTGATGAGTGTCTCAGAAATGCTGTAACCCAAATACTTAAAAACATCCGCACAGTTGGACAGCCAAAGGAAAAAAGTGAATGAATGGGGTCTTACAACAGGCTGGAAGCAACAAGTTGCAGCTGCAGTTTGTGAATTATGCTACTCATGTTCTCTGTCCACAACAAAAAAAATGCATTATAACTTACCACTTCATCTTCCAGGGGCATATAGCTGCTACTAGTGATGGAACTACCACTATCAGGACTAGAAGGTAAAGCATGTTTGCTGTGAAAGAAAAATAATTTTAAAATTCGTTTTCAACTTCTCATCTGTAAAAGTCCATACAGCCCAAGTTTCAGGGATAAAAATAACATCAAGCCCATGTGGGATACCTGCCACCAACTCAGCAGTAAACATGTATGGTTTGTGTTTGCCAAACAGTTCGGCTGGAAGCTCTGGGATAGAGCTGCAAGTCTTTTCCTTTATCAAAATTAAAAGCAATCTAGTAATGATTCAATCTTCCCTCATGTTGGCACCTTGACTGTAAGGGTAAATTTCCAAAAGCTAAGACTATGATAACTTTGCTTAACTATTTGGTTTAGCTTTTCAATACCCAAAGAAGACAGATTTTTTACCATGAGATGTCAATGGAACATCTGTACCTCCACTGTGGATGGACTGTAGCAAGACAGACACTACACAAGAGTCTATGCTCTCCTAGGACTTACGCTGACATAAGAATTTCAGTGTTTCCTCCTCATTGAAAGGCTCAGCCTTGAGCTACATTTTTGACAAACATATGAGGCTATAATAAGCAGGCCAAGGAGTTTGCATGTCCCTACCACACACCACAACCAGGAATGATCAGGTTACATTCTCCTTTTATCTTTTCTGGGTTAATTAAGCCTCATCTGGATTCCCTGCGTGGCTATACAAACGTCAGTGCTTGCGTAAGAGAAGGCTGGCTCATGGAGCTGGGACACAGGTGTAAGAGGCAGGACTAACAGCCTGTGTGAGGGTACCAAGACGTTTCAGATACTGCTCTGCTAGTTAGCCTAAAACATCTGAGTCTCCTTCTGTGAGCCAATGCTTTGGCTTTTGCTCCCCCTTCACTTCCATCCCCAACAAATTTTTCAAAATCAGGAATCTTTGATTTGGATCACAAGTTGGGCAACCACAGCTGCTGAGTGGTATTTTCAAGGGAACAGAACAACAGGCAAGTGATTTCCTGTTCTGCTTCGGTCAGCAAATCTGCCCAGATAGTGAACTGCAGTGCTCAAACCAGTAACCTTTTCTTACTGACTTATGAGGGAGTCAACTTGACAATGGAATTAAAGATTGATGAGAATAAGAGTAAACATCAGAATTCAAGAGTCCACACAGAAATTACCTATTTGCACACAGGTCTGCATTTCTTCCCATAATAGGAAAACTACTTAATCCCAAAGACAATTCCTCAATGCATTCTAGCAAACAGAACTCACTAGTCATGTAAATATGCATATATTTCCCAGAAAGATATAAGATGTAAGTAAGTGTGTAAAATCATCTTCATTCTAAAAAAACCCCAAAACATAGCTACTTAAAAGTATCAAAATGTTGTCTTGGTATGCATATTTGATTTCTTAGTTGGATTCTCTCTCAAGTGCACACTACATGGAGAGAGAGTGCACATTACATGGAGTTAAATGTTTTCTCTTGATAAAGGAAGATTAGTCTAATCTTTTAAATCATCCCATCCTTCTGCTGGAAGATAAATTTTCCACAGACAATACTCACAGTTAAAAGGTGTATCTATGTATCTGAAGTTAACAATGGGAGTCTCTCCTCCACCTGTATATGCTTTAACCACGAGTTTGTACTTTGTGTTTGGCAATAGGTGCTTCACAGTGTAACTCTTTTCTTCCGGGTTTTCAATTGTGTATTTACACAGCACTGAATTATCTAAAATGGAACAGGTAAGACAGAATCATGGAATCACAGAATCTTCACAGAATCACAGAGTGGTTTGCGTTGGAAGGGACCTTAAAGACCATCTAGTTCCAAGCCCTCTGCCATGGGAAGGGACACCTCTCATTAGACCAGGTTGCTCAAAGTCCTGTCCAGCCTGGCCTGCCCCCAGGGAGAGGGCAGTGTGTTTTCCTTTTATCTAACCTAAATCCACACTCTTTTTGTTTAAAACCATTAACCTATAGGACATGGGTTAATGATTTTAAACCGTTTAAAAAAAAAAAAAAAGAGGTATCTCTCCTTCTTTCATATAAGCCTCCCTTCAGTATTGAAAGGCCACAATAAGGTCTCCCCAAAATGTCAGGAATTAACTGACCACTGAAATAACAGAACATTTGCAACACATCTTTGTAACTTGCGTATGTTCTGACAAGGATGATGCATCCTGACTCATTGCCACCAGGCTGAACTCACATCCCTTCTAACTGGACTATTCACAGCTTAAGTCAAGTTCTTTGAGGATAATCAACAGCAAGAAATCTCTGCCTGAAATAAAACTCTTTTGCCTCTCTATTGCGCAACTCCCAGACCCTTGGGGGAAAAGGGTTAGCTTATTCCTTCTTTTCCCAGTCACACCCTTTTTCTGCTAGCTCAGACAAGCTGGGAAGCAGGAAATTTTCAATTTAATATCTTTAACTGGGAGCAACTGCAGAATTATGGTACTTCGGTGGTTAGTTTAGTTCTGATAGGAACTCCTACATAAACCTCCTTCAGTTCAAACTAAGCTTTTCAGCCTGGTACTAATCTAATCAGCAGAAGGCTCTGACACAGGACATGACCCAACTGGAAGAAGAGGCAAGTGAAAAATATATCTTTGAACATGTTGGAAACATCTGAAAATTATAATGGAGCAAAGTCATCTGGAGTAGTTTTGAGTGTGGAGCAGGAAGATCGGATAAAAAAATTTAAACATGGCTTTGTGCCACCCCGCAGCTCAGTTCCGCTGAAGGAATTCTCCTGTAGAGCTCAACCACAAATACTTTCACTATAAAGAAATTTAAATTGAGAATTTACACAGTGCTCCAATTCCGAAGGAAATAAATTGTATCCCATCTGTTTCTAAAATACCTCAAATCCTAGTAAAACTAACATGCTTCCTATGACTTTCATCCAAGAAGACTACAAACAGATGTTTTCAAAATTCATCCAGAACTCAGGATTACAAGAGGCAGAAACCTGACTCCTCCTACAGTACTGCAAGAATCTTTTCTGGAGCTCACACTGGAGTTAAAAGGAGGAACGGACAACGGGACAAGGGCTATAAATATGTATAAAGACAGGATCCACTTCCACCCAATAGCACCTCAGACATTAACAAGGCATCAAAAGCAGCAGGTGTTGAAATCTACATATTGCCTAATGAGCCAATTTGCCTGCCTAATGTGAACTTCCCAACAGGCTGCAGTACCAAGCAACAGCTACAAAGTCTTTTACCTCTATCAACAACACAACTTCCTAACCCTAGAGCTCAGTCACCTGGAAGAACATGTTTTTTGGACCCTTTCAAATTGCAGTCCTCTTGTATAGGTGACACATAAACATGGTACCCTCTTACAAAGCCAGGTTGTGATTCATTTGTGGGATAAGAATCCCAAGACAGTGTTACTTCATTGAAAGTCAGTTCTTCTTCTTCCACGACAGGGTCCAACGGAGGAGCTGGAAGAAAAGAAATTCAAATTTAACTTGCCGTTATTCTTCAAGAATCTTTACCTTCTCACTTGAAACATGTCTAAATTTTTATATGATATTTCTGTTTATATCTCACTTGTATTTATAAACTGAACAAAGCCAAAGTGTGCCACCAAAATTACCAACTCCACAGAACCTTTATGCCGTTCACGTTACACATAAAGCAGGGACTGCTAATCACAGCCTTTTTTAGCTTTTCTAATTGACTCCACTTGGTCATTACACTAGTCCTCAATGTGGCACTGAGCTAATCCTCAGCGTAGGGCTGTGTGCGTTGTTGCACAACATTTAAGTGCAACAGCTAGCTGCAGGAGGAAGGCTGTGGTTCTCCTGTTTGTGACAGATGAATTTAGCAAATACACAAACCCTAACCATGCTGCCAACTTACGTAGCTCCCTGACATAACCAGTCTTCTTCTCCAGTAAAGAGGCGGTATTAGCAACAGATCCATGGATGTTGAAGTTGTATCTCACACCCGGGACAAAAGCAGCTAGAACATAGTGGAATTGATTACAAAAATAGTTTATGGTTTGGTTTTTGGTTTTACTTTTACTTAACTGCTTCCTACAGAGGTCTATAATCCATAAGAAATCTTCTTTGTGTGCTATTGTACTCTTAAGACAACTGAAGGAGACACGGTAAACAATTTTTTAGTGTGCATAATGTGAATTGAAGACATTTATTCTATGTGAAAGAGAGAATTGAGGAGGGTGTTAAATATTTTTTTTGTTGCCCTGGAGTGTTCAAGATGAATGCACAATAGAGTCCAAACACATCCAAGAGAAAGGTAATTCCATTTCTGTTTCTGGCACAGGCAAAAGTAATGTTTTGGACTGTTTAATGTAGACACACACCCACGTGTCAGGATTCCATGTTATGCTCAGTGACATCCACTCCAATTCAGGTTAACCAAGTGCAGCCTGACTGAAGAACACTACAACACATTTTATCACGTGTTACCATGCTCTCCTTCGTTAAGTACACAGGCTCCCATGTGTTTGTACAAAGTGCAGTTCCTTTACTGAGTATTGAAATGTGTTCATACAAATTTTGTTCAAACATGTTTCATTCCAAATTGAACTCTCAGCTTGAGAGACTCCAGGAAGGCTGTATTCGTGCAGCTGTGGAAGTCCATCAGAGCAAGACAACCAGAAAGGATTTAGGTCTAATGGACACCACTGGGATAAAAACCACAACTGGTCCTAAGCAAGAGACACATTATTTGTGGCACGCTGACAGCACTAAACCTCACTACATAGTGTGTATTAAATTGCCCAAACCTAAACTTATGACCTGTCTTACAGATAAAGTAGAGCTCCACTTGCATCTCTCCTGCTAAAAGATTTTTAACTCCTTCATTAGTCTCACTGTCCTCTTTCAAGATGTTACTACAAACTACTAAGATTAGTTGGTTTTTTTCTAAAGTACTATGATGACTTTCCAAAATACTATGCTGACTTCCAAAGCTTAATGATGCTGGCACCTTTGTGAAACATAATGCCACGTCCTTGAAGAATTACACCCACACTGCACAGACTTCAGCATTCTACAGGGTTTGTTTCCTAAATGCGATTTGTGCTCACAACATGAAACACTGCTACACAGACATCAGAATGAAAAATTGTTCAGCTTTTACCTGAGGTGATCAGAGCATTGGAAGTGTTGGCCTCAAATTTCTCCCACTGCAAATCACATGGCTGCAACATCGGAAAGTTACACCAATCAATAATGTAACTGTCATATATATGTCTGGGCTCCCAGGAAATAAAAATGCCACCATCTCTACCATTAACCTGTTCTTCTTTAAGCTCTGTGGTGCCTAGGAAAGAATAAAACAGATTCTCTATTATTTTCCTGCTAGAGACCTCAGATTCATAAATGAAGATCAATATAGTTTCTATGCTAAGCTGTTAAAAAAAAAATTGTGAGGGGAGAGGGGCCCAAGAAAGCTGCTGCTTAGTATTCAAGGATCACTTCCTTCCAGCCCAGGAGCAATCCATCCCTAAAAAGAGGAAGGTGGGCAAGTATGCCAGGAGGCCTGCATGGATGAACAGGGAGCTCCTTGGACACTATTAATCGTAAAAAGAAAGCCTACGGAGGGTGGAAACAGGGGCAGGTAACCTGGGAAGAATATAAAGAAGTTGTCTGAGCAGCCAGGGATAAGGTTAGGAAAACTAAGGCCCAGATAGAATTAAATCAGGCTAGGGACATCCAGGATAACAAGAAAAGTTTAAGTGTGTCAGTGACAAAAGGAAGAACAAGGAAAATGTGGGCCCTCTCCAGAAGGAAACAGGGGACCTGATCACAGGATATGGAAAAGGCTGGGGTACTCAACAACTTTTTTGCCTCAGTCTTCAGTGGCAAAGGCTCTAACCACACCATCCAAGTTTCAGAAGGCAAGGAAAGGGACTGGGAGAATGAAGATTCACCCACTGTAACAGAAGACCAGGTTTGAGACCATCTAATGAACTTGACGGTGCATGAAGTTCAACAGGGCCAAGTGTAAGGTCCTGCACCTGGGTTGAGGCAATCCCAAGGGCAAATACAGGCTGAAGCAGAGAGCAAATTTAGAGCAGCCCTGAGGAGGAGGACTTGGGCGTGTTAGTTGATGAGAGGTTCGACATGAGCCAGCAGTGTGCACCTGCAGCCCAAAAAGTGAACTGTGTCCTTGGCTGCATCAAAACGAGTGTGACTAGCAGGTTGAAGGAGGTAATTCTCCCCCTCTACTCTGCTCTGGTGAGGCCCCACTTGGAGAAATGTATCTAGTTCTGGAGCCCACAGTATAAAAAGGACATAGATCTGCTGGAGTGGGTCCAGAGGAGGACCACAAAGATGAGTAGAGGGCTGGAGCACCTCTGCTATGAGGACAGGCTGAATGAGCTGGGGTTATTCAGGTTGGATAAGGGAAGGCTCCGGAGAGACCTAATAGCAGCCTTCCAATACATGAAAGGGGCTTACAGGAAAGCTGGGGAAGGGCTTTTTACAAGGACCTGTAGTGATAGAACAAGGGGCAATGGCCTGAAACTGCAAGAGGGTAGATTTAGATTAGATATAAGGAAAAAATTCTTCACCGTAAGAGTGGTGAAGCACTGGAACAGGTTGCCCAAGGAGGCTGTGGATGCCTCATTCCTGCAAGTGTTCAAGGCCAGGCTGGATGGGGCTTTGAGCAACCTGGTCTACTGGGAGGCAGGTTTCCCTGCCCACAGCAGGGGGCCTGGAACTAGATGATCTTCAAGGTCCCTTCCAACCCAAACCATTCTATGATTCTATGACCTGTTGGAGCAGGGCCAGAAGAGGGCCGCAAAAAATGATCGGAGGGCTGGAGCACCTCTCCTGTGAAGACAGGCTGAGAGAGCTGGGGCTGTTCAGCCTGGAGAAGGCTCCAGGGACACCGTATAGCAGCCTTCCAGTACCTGAAGCAGACTACAGAAAAGCTGGGGAGGGACTCTTTATCAGGGAGTGTTGTGATAGGACAAGGAGCAACGGTTTTAAACTAAAGCAGGGTAGATGTAGATTAGATATGAGGAAGAAGTTCTTTACTATCAGAATGGTGAGACACTGGCACAGGTTGCCCGGAGAAGCTGTGGCTGCCCCCTCCCTGGCAGTGTTCAAGGCCAGGCTGGATGGGGCTTTGAGCAACCTGGTCTAGTGAGAGGTGTCCCTGTCCATGGCAGGGGAGTTGGAACCAAGTGATCTCTAAGGTCCCTTTCAACCCAAAACGTTCTATGATTCTATGTGATTCTATGAAACCTAGAGTCATAAACAGAAAGTCACAAGAAACTAATCACACACAAGAGTTAAAGAGTTAAGGCACTGGTTGTCCCTTCAAAGCACCTGCCACAGATCTGAGGCCCTGGTGTAACGTTTAATGTGTTTTGCTCTGAAGGTACTCTGTGTGCAAACTAGACTTTCTACTGCAAGGGATGGACCACTTGTCGTGGGTTAGGGCTGGGCCGGC